ATATATATCTATCTATCTTCATGCACGTGTATAATATATAGGTAATGTATGGTCAGACTGTCACGTTACCTGGAAACTGCCACATGTATAAATACACCTTTCAGAATGCGGGACTGTGTGTACGTGTGTGCGTATGTGTGTATGCATGTGTGCGTGTCTGTATATATATGTTCTTTTGTTTTTTTGTGCATTTTTGGGCTTGTTCATTCTTTGGTGGCTCAACCTGTGAATTTTTCCGTTGATATTTTTGCAAGAGGGAACATGTGCTTAAAGACGAGAAAGACGGCACAAGATTCTGGTGCGGGTTTTCTTCTTCTGTCCTGTCAAACGTCTATCGTCCTGATCTCTCCTTCTTTTTTTGGTGTTTGTTACACTCTTGGTGCATTTCCAATCTTCGACACTTATGTGACCTAATTGTGTTGCAAGTGCTGTAAAACACTACGAAAACACGAAAAATGATTTTGGTAGTTTGACTGTGGAAGGGTTTTTTGCTTTGCTTATATTTTTACAAGGAATGGAATTTGTAGTAGAGAGAGAGAGAAAGAGAGAAAGAAAGAAAGAAAGAGACAGAGAGAGAGAGAGAGACTGATTTTGTACATAGATTTTACAAAAAGCAAGTATGTATTTATATATAATATATACACAATCATATCTGTATTGCTCTGTACGTGCATTATTTTGTAATTATGAATTTCTTGTGTATCGATACAATAATTCTTTGTATGAGAAGAAATTGAATTACAATGAGGGGTTTTCCCACTTTTTTTGTAGGGGACAAATATTTGTGTAAAGTTTTTGTTTTTTGTACGGTACCACCAGACTTTGGGATTTCTGGTGTTTCCGGATGTTTCTGGCAAGACTGAGGTCCCAGGTTTTTCATGTGTTTTTTTTATTTTAACCTTTTTGAGCCCCGGCCACCCACGGGTACACTGGTCGAGCGTAATATTGCCCGTGTGCCCAGCTAGCAGGAGAGCGGTCTGGGACAAAATGCACCCGGAAAACACTGTTCTTCGCTACCCAGGACGTTGTTGATTATTTTTATGATCTTTCTGACAGAGCTGGATCCTGCTCGCCAAATCTGAGAGTGGCGATTCGCGATTCAGTCGGTTTTAAAAAATCGCGAGTACGCGAGCGCTCGTGGAACACTTAAGCCTCGGGCTCGTTGTATGCGTGAAACGGAACAGTGTCATATCAACGCCACTTGGCGAGTCCCACTCTTGTTGTCCTGCCATTGAGACTTCTCGCACGCCATCCTCTCCGCTCCCCGCCCATCACCCCCCACCCACCCTTTGTTGCGCTTCTCTACTGACCTCAATGAGTGATCCCATAAATTCACCCCCCCCCCACACACACACACCCCATGATTCGCTAAAACGATGGCTCCATAAAATTCCTTCTGTCAATTGGTTGGAACCCGTTCATTTTGTTTTAATAGGTGGATTGGACTATACCATCTTTTGTAAAATAAGGGGAGCCGTGCTAAGTGTTCCGTTCCATGTTCCGTTCGTGTGCTTGCGACAAACGAGTAACACTTGGCCTACATAACAGATCAGACAGAGCTACAAACAAGCCGCAAGGTGGTGACAGCGACAGGGGAGTGAATCGGAAGGCGATACTGTTCCGCGTTCCGCTGAAGTGAAATGCGAATCGCGTTCCGCAGGGAAGAGTGGCGATTCAGTTCCGTTCTCGCTCTCGCGACCCAGCTCTAGTTTCTGAAAAAGATGCTGGAAATGACGAGGACTACGCTGAATGCGATCTATTATGGAATGTGATTCTGAAACTATGATATAAATATGAGAGTAAAATCGGCGTGAATCGCTCAGGAGCTCAGGAAGAGGGGAATGGAGGTCTGGGCTCAAAGGGTTAAAGCTGTTTATATATATTTCTTTGGTGTGTTGTGTTTGATTGGGTGTGTTAGTTCCACTTTTTCCTGTTTTACCTGTTTAGTCGTGAGTATTTATTTGCAGGGTTAAAATTGCAAGAAAAAGAAGTTCCATTTTCAGTTTGTCTGTGGATGGTTGGCGGGTGCTCTGGTGTGGTTTGCTTCTTCTGTCCTATCAGACATCTATCGTCCTTATCTCCCCTTCTTCTTTTTTTTTGTGTTTGTTACTTTCTTGTAACACCTCTAATCTTCTGGCGCTCATATGACCTCATGCAGTTGCGAGTGCGGAAAAATCTCTTCTAGAACTAAAACATCAGTTTGTCTCGTGTCTTTCATTATTTTCATATGTCAAACTGCGAGGTTTTCAGGAGAATAAAAAAAAATACTGTCCCTTTTTCGCTCAGCTCATTGTCTCGAAACAAAATGTGAGGAGTGTTGACAAAATGAGTTACTTCTGACAATCTACAAATTGAAATTCAACTTTGGGGTCAAATTTGTAGATCTTCAAATGGTGGGGTCAAATTTGTAGATCTTCAAATGGTGGGGTCAAATTCGTAGATCTTCAAATGCTGGTGCTATTTTCTTCAAGTTTAACACCTGTTTTATTATTAATATTTCAGACTTACAAATTGTACTAACTCCACCTGTAAATTAGACGTGTATCTATTTCCATAGGAATAAAAATCGGACAGTGGGTGGTTGGTGGGTGCTCTGGTGTGGTTTGCTCCTTCTTTCCTAACGAACATCTATCTCTTGTAACCCATCTAATCTTGGGCACTTATATGACCTTATAGTGTTGCAAGTGCCGTAAAACTCTTACTGAAACTAAACTAAAAATCGGAGAAGTAACTCATTTTGTCAGCATGCCTCTCAAATGTTTTATTTTGTCTACGCTCGTTACCATTTTCAGAGGGGAAGTGAGACTAAGGCCAACAGATGCGCCTCATCGAACTCTACAACATACTTGACTTTCATTGTTTTTTGAAATTTTGACTTACTACATTTTGAAGGACTTCCGACAATAATGTGAAACGTGCTGACCAAATGAGTTACTTCTCGGATTCAGGCCTTCAGGAAATAGATACATCACACTTATAGGTGAAGTTTTTACAATGTATAAGTATGAAATAATAGAACAAATGTTATAGTTAAAGAATATAACATCAATAGAAATTCTACAAATTTGACCTTAGTGTAGAATTTTGGCCAATATCTCCATTTGTTGATTGTGAGAAGTAACTCATTTTGTCAGCACAACTCACAATTTATTTTGACAGTTTTGAGAGAACACGCACACATCAGTGGCTTTGACTGTTGAATTGTTTTGTCGGAGGTGGATTTTCGTGTTTTAAAAATGAGTGCAGAATGGTGTCTCCACGCTTATTTTCTGCACTGTTACATTTTACATTGGTGGTGTAGTGGTTAGGCTCTTCACCTCACAATCGGAGGACTTGAGTCCAAATTCCCTCATGGGTGGTTGAGAGGATCTGTATTCTAGTATGGTTTGTTTCTTCTTTCCTATCAAACATCTATCATCTGCGTGCTCATATGACCTTATGCAGTTGCGAGCACGGTAAAACTCTTACTAAGACAAACAAAAACATCTATCATCCCTATCTCTCCTCCTTCTTTTTTTGTTGGACACATCGAATTTTCAACACTTATATGACCAAATTATGTTGCAAGTGCTGTAAAACACTTACTAAAACGAAAATCAATATCTATTTATAAGAAAATTGTTTAACGTCTCGTCACCTCAGAACAGTTTTGTTCAAAGTGTCTCTTTACCTCAGTACACGTTGGACAAAGTAGCTCTCGGGCGACGATCTGCTAAAATAGATTTTTGCAGATACAATGACAATCAGTATTGGCTGGGCCTGAGAGAAGAGAGGGCTTCGGCTAAAAATAGTCTGATGATATAAGTAAGGGTTAAGAAGATAAACAGGGTAGGTTTTGTCTGTGCCGTCTTTCGGAGGCCACTTTCTCTCTTGAGAGTGTGGGTTTATTAAGCTCGCTTCCTAAATGATCTAAAAAAAAAAAGAAAAAGATGCCTTGTTGGTTTTTCAGGGTTTTTTGGTCTTTAGTGTTGTGCAAGTTCAAGACTGTGGGTGGTTGGCGGGTGCTCTGGTGTTGTTTGCTTCTTCTTTCCCTA